TCTCACCTCAAATACCCTGAAACCCTCTCTCTAAAACCATTTCAATTACAAATTCACCTAAAATGATGAGGAAGACTAGAAAAGACAATCATGTGATACCAAGAGTCCCTGGGAGGATTTAATTGAAGGGCATAAAATCCTAAATAGGACAAATAATCTCAACTCATTTCAGCCCAGGCCAGATGACAAGGCAAGTGAGCATGAATTAGAATTACCGATAAACACATTGGGAACAGATGTCAGAACGAACTTTTTCCCCAACACCGAAAGTCTTAAACGTGCAGCAAAACCCTCCAAAGTCATTGGCAACATTGAAAATACAATTAGAGTCAATTATGAGGAGAATAAAACCCTGAAGAGTGTGTCAAGAATTCTGGGGCGGGCCAGATGATGGGTGCGTGTTCCCAGAGCAATCCTGAGAATGCACGATCAAGATTAGCGGCCTTTTTTTTTCCCCTTTAACCAAGAGCACTGGTGATTCACGAGCAATCTTTTTCTGCTGGGGCTACATTCATGCCTTTATTATTCCTTCCCAGACAGCGCGTAGATGTCACTCTGGTGCCCGCTCCCCCTTCTCCACCTCATGGCTTCACACTTCGAGTGGACAGGTTCCTGCTTTAGCCATTACCTTAAGGTAATGAAGAGGGTAAACAAATTTCATGCACTGGCACCAACTGTCTTGAGTGTCAGAGAGAAACCAGAGCGATGATTAGGGCTGTTCTGGGTGGTGCAGCTGGTGACGAGTCTTGGACTCCAACAATTGCAAAGTGTCCTCTCCCTGCCAATGTCCATCACCTTGATTCTTTCTGCATGTGTCTTCCCTAACTGTTCCGTGGTTCTTTCCTTAGGGCATCCTGGCTGCACCAGTAGCCCTGTGGATTTAACCACCCGTTCAGCTGATTACCTCCATTTTCCTCTAAAAGGTGGGGAAATTAGTTACAGCATTTGGCATGACCCAAGATTTGAAGAGGCGAGGCGTGTGAATCCCTAGTCTGGATATCAGTTCTGTTGATACCATGAGCACCATGAGTCAGTCAGAGCCTGTTGCTCTTAACTCTAAGGTCTTAGGTGTAATTCTCACGAAGAGAAAAACTCAGTGTAAAGCTATAGTCTGCACCTCTCTCCCTGATTAGTCAGTGGCGGGGTGGGTGGCAAAGTGTGTAACCAGTTATGAAACTAGGCATGACTCAATAAAAAAATTAGCTTCAGAATCAAGTCAACAAGTTATAACTTGAGGAAACAAGGCATAACTCAGCAAAATGAATTTTAACATTATTTCATATATGAAATATATAAAGTCTATCAGCTGGCACCGAAAATAATTTCAAAGTCACTGACATGAAAATGATAGAAATATTCCGTATGGGAGGAACAAATCTTTATCTACCTTGTCTCCTACATTTACAGCATCAATTCATAAAATGTGATCATTAAAACAAACATTATAAGAAACAGTTGGAGAGCTTTATGGTAATTATATAATTGGCTAATTGGGATCAGAAAACAAAATCCCTCTCTGTGCTTTCTCAAATCGCCAGTCTAACCCTCCTCAACTAGGGCAGCTCATCTGAGTCCCAGGGAAAAGAAACCTCAGAGAATCTCAGTTCCCCAAGCAGGCGAGAGAATGGTTTTGAGGTACCCATCCGAGGAAAGATACTCTGCTGGGGTGACTTCCCCTCAGACTAACGACATTCACAGGAAGATGGAGAGAGACGATAAATATGCTAATTGAAAGGTCTTCAGCACAGGTATTGGAAGAGGCTACAACCACTTCCGTTTCTGTAATCAATAACATCAAGGAGGCAGAAACCACAGCCCTGTGCTCATCCCTGAAAAACACATTTCAGGTCACTGGAGCCCCATCTGCTCACTTGCTGCCCGCCAGTCAGTAGATAATCTCAACCCACAAAGCAAATGGTACAGCCTTTCCACAAGCAGGATAAAAATTACTTTACATAGAAATTGAGTGTCTCTCACCTTTTCATTGCTTTCTGTTTGAGAGAGGGGAAAGGAGGAGGGGAGAGAAGAACTGAATAATTTGCCTTCGAGGAGACCCACTGGGCTTTCCCAGTCTTGTCAGAATAGTAATAGTCCAACCCTTTCCTCCTCTTGCAAGACTCCACTCAGAAAACAGGAACCCAGAGGATAAGGTAGAAGATATAATGTAAAAGACAAATAGAGGTCAAAGGGGAAAAATATCTCCCACAACATTGTGAGAGACTATTATGTTACTTCTAAAGACGCTCTTGGGAAATAAATGGGAATTAAGAGACACGGAGTAAAATTCATGGAGAGCACAGTTTGAGACAACAGACTTTTGAGCTCATCTGGATTGATTTTTTGTTAATTGCCATATAAATTTTATGTTTTCATGAAAAAGAGAAGACTCTACTGCCCAGACAAACATGCCTTTCATTGTCTGATTGTCTGATGTGCAGAGCCAGCCCCAGCCTGTGGACAAGTGGGACGGATGTTCCGGGCTCCTGTCTGCTACAGGCACCAGAGGAGATAACGACAGTAAGTGGTGCTAAAAGGGGCCCTACTCAAAAATGATGTTTTCTCCATTCCAGTGTCTCGATTCTGAGATGAGCGTATAGGAGAAAGCCAAGAGAACCGATATACCCAAATGGTTTAATTCGACCCACTCCCCACGAGCAGTCCTTCCCCATAATTTCTTTTCCAAAGACATGCTCTGGTTCCTGTCAAAATGTAAAGTCGTCAAGAAGTACAAATAATTCTTACACATGCACCTACAAAAAAAAAAAAAAATCAGCTGCCAAATAAAAGAATTAATAGTTTCCTGGCTGAGAAGGAAGCCGGTAAGGAAGAAGGAAAAAATCCTCAATGTCACAGATTGGCCCTGGCTACAATCTAATCTATGAAGTCTTATTCCTGCCTCCCACTTTTTGGTAAAAGCAACCAGGTTGCTAGCAATGGGAGCCCTGAACAAGTCTACTTTTCAATGAGACATCACATCTCTCAGCATCTTCATTGGTAAAGAAGTGTATGCATCCAGAGAAGTGCTAGCAGAAGCAGTGGCACCTGGTTTATTGTAAATTGGGTCAGAGTAATGAAATTCCTCTTGAATTTCTGTGGGATAATCAATGACTCTGCTCTAATGAAACCATAAATCAGAAAGGATTTACATAAACTGAGTCCCACACTTGGCACCTCAACAAATGGCGAATGATAGATTTTGCATTAAATTATAAGACCTACCTAATAACCCTATCAGTTACCAAGAAATGCATCCCTCTGAAAATCCCAATCAATCTTTAGGTCTTTCTAAAGTATGCCCGCTGCAAACAGGCTTATAGCCATGAAAGCAGATAAGTCAAGGAAGATATTCTGATGGCCTGGTCCACATGACACTGTTTCTAAGAGCCCTTCTCGGCTATCAACACACTGTCTTCCTAGGAATTTTACCAAAATATAGTGCTCTCATGACCAGCCACAGAAAGAAATCTCAGCCTAAGCCAAAAACTCTCCGTGATAAAATATACAACATTTTTATATATAAGAAGGTGCTAGAGGAGCGGTCAGCAAATGAAAGGCTATCACCTGGACTTGTAAATAGAATTTTATTGGAAGACAGCCACATCCATTCATCCATCTACCTATTGCCTATGCTGCTTTTGCAATACAATAGCAGACTTGAGTAGCTGCAACAGAAACCTTCTGGCCCCTCAAAGCCTAGAATATTTGGTTTGGGTGCCTTTACAGAAAATATTTGCCAGTCCCTGTGCTAGAGAAGACAGAAAAAAGTACACTATGAGGTCATCTGAGCTGAACTGCTATGCTGCTGGAGTCTTTCTCCCTCTACAAGCTTCACGGGGTATTTGAGAAGGTGGAGAAGGATTTGTGGTGGGTCTACGCTCAAAACAAAGGCTATCGGCTTAACTGGATTGGTTTTTTAAGATTTTGAATAAATTTCAGGTTCTCCTAATCCATCTAATTCTGCCTGAGTGAGAAGTTTCAGAGCAGAAGTGATGTTTGAGCTGGGGTTTGAAGAAATAAGAACAAATTTGGGGAAGAAGGGAATTCCAGGAAGTGAGAGCAAAACAACTTCTGCCCAAGAATTAATTAGCAATTACGTATGACTTATGTGAAGTTTTTTCCTTGAAGGAAGTAAAAAAGTTTCATATCAATCTATGAGTTAAGGGTTCACTACAAGTCATCCTCTGTCAGGATAAAAATTACTTTGCACAGAACTTGACTGTTTCTCACCTTCATTACTTTCTGTTTTAGAGACAGAAAAGGGGGAGTGGAGAGAAGAACTGAATAATTTGCCTTAAAAGAGGCCCACTGGGCTTTCCCAGTCTCGTCAGAATCATAACTATCCAACACTTTCCTCTTGCAAGACTCCACTCAGAAAACAGGAACCCAGAGGACAGGGGAAAAGACAAATGGAAGTCAAAGGGGAAAAATATTCCCCACAATATCGTGAGAGACTATGATGCTACTTCTACAGACGCTCTTGGGAAATAAATGGGAATTAAGAGAGACAGAGTAAAATTCATGGAGAGCACAGTTCGAGACAACAGACCTCTGAGCTCATCTGAATTGATTTTTCCTTAATCATCATATAAATCTTATGATTTCATGAAAAAAAGAACACCCTACTGCCCAGAAAAGTTTGCCTTTCATTTTCTGATTGTCCAATGGGCAGAGCAAGCCTCAGCATGTGGACAAGCAGCATGGATGTTCTGGGCTCCTTTCTGCCATGCGTCAGCAGGGGCAGGATGCTAGGAGGCTGCGTTACCCCATTTAATCTTCACAGCAGCCCTATGAAATATGTGCTATTATCCTCATTTTACAATTGACAAAACTATAACAGAGAAAAATAAACAAGATATTACTTTTTTTTAGGATTTAGGGTTTTTTTTTTTTTTTTTTTAGCAAATGCAAGTTTCTAAGGAGCAGAGCCTGGATCCATGTTTATCATCACATTTATTCATTCAACCCTCACACCCCCAGGGCCCCCCACCAAGACCGCTCACCTCTGCAGACGCTGCAGCACTGATTCTCTGGGAGAATGTGATCCTTGTCTGAGCAGTTCAAAGGAGGGCACGCTTCTGTAATTTTCACTAAAACTCCACCCTGGAAGCCAAATAATAGGGAAACAAAAAATGTTCAGACTTTTAGTCAATGATACAAATGACTAATGCTCATTGTTAACAGGCCGCAGGGTTAACAACCTACAATAGGTAACGGTGCTCCCAGGAATTGCATGATAATGACAAAGTCACAAATTAAATTGGTGAGACTCCTGGAAGAGAAGGTAAATTTCCCTTTCTATATCAAAAGAGCCTCAATTGCAACAAATGCATTTGAGTATCTACTATGTAGCAGAAGGTCGCTAAAAACGGTGTGCTGGTAAGTTATTAACAGTTGACTGTTGAATGTGGGAGTCCTAATTTGGAACATTTGCTGATTTCTGTGATGTAAATACCCCAACGATGACTGATTCTGAACTACCAACATGATATCATTGACCCGACTTGGGAAGTTACGTAAAATGAGCTCTCACAAGCCTCTCACGAGCTTCTATGAGCTAATTTTGACACTCCCCTGGGACCACAAGCACTGCGAACCTAGAGATAAATAAGACATCTCCCTCACCCTTGATGACCTCACAGTTTGGATGGAGAGAGAAAAAAAATCTCTGTAACTAGAAACCATAATATATACAGTAAGTCCTAATAAATGTACTCTAAAGTATGAGGTGGCATGGGAGAATAATTAATTCCACCCAGGTGGGGAGAAATTATGAAGAAAATGCCTATGCCTTATTTGAAGGGACTTAAATCATGGAATAAGATAAGGAAGAAGAGATTTTCCTGGCAGAGGAAACAGACAAGAACCAAGGTGCACAGGTGCGAATGCACTAAGAGGGTTAGTTAGATGAGCACTGGATTTTCTCTAGACATCAATAAGATCTCTTACAATAAAATTTTAGGGGCCGGCCCGGTGGCACAGCGGTTAAGTTTGCACGTTCTGCTTCTCGGCGGCCCGGGGTTCACCGGTTCGAATCCCCGGTGCAGACATGGCACCACTTGGCACGCCATGCTGTGGTAGGTGTCCCATGTATAAAGTAGAGGAAGATGGGCATGGATGTTAGCTCAGGGCCAGTCTTCCTCAGCAAAAAGAGGAGGATTGGCAGTAGTTAGCTCAGGGCTAATCGTCCTCAAAAAAAAAAGAATAATACATAAAATAAAATTTTAAATATTCAGCAGGTGAACCTTTATGTCCCTACTTCACCAAAGGTCCTCTTTGTTGACATTACTAGAGTCTGTATTTAGTTCCATTCTGAATTTTAAAAATTAGTCTATTAAGTACTATTAAAAAAGGGTTTAAGGGGCCAGCCCAGTGGCACACTGGTCAAGTTCTTGCACTCCACTTAGGCAGCCCAGGGTTCACTGGTTCAAATCCCAGGCGTGGACCTACACAGCACATATTAAGCCATGCTGTGGCAGGTGTCCCACATATAAAATAGAGGAAGATGGGCACAGATGTTAGCTCAGGGCCTATCTTCCTCAGGAAAAAAAAAAAGAGGACAATTGGCAGCAGATGTTAGCTCAGGGCTAATCTTCCTCAATAAAGAAAAGGGGGGCGTGGTTTAAGATGCTTCTATTTTACCTAAAATGTTAAGTTTTTCTCTCCCATTCTTAAGAAGTTGGTTAAGTCACCCAAGAAGCAAGCTCATGAAGGGGAGTCTCATTTAAGGCCAAAAGGTAATTCTCAGCATAGATGGGAGAATAGGATGGAGCTGGGCAACTAAGAGGGTTGGGCGAGATATTGGTTTTCCATCTTCAACAGACTATCATTCCAGTGGCCCCATCTTCCTCTGGTTTGGCAGGAACTCCCATATATCAGGCACATCCATTCTTAAATATGAGCATGAACATAACTTTAAATGTCAAACTTCATTTCCAACTACTCATCTTTTGGATTATTTACACCATGGCTTCTTCTCCTTTCCCACAATTCTGAGCCCAGACAGTCCAGCCCCTAACACAGTCTTATCTTTTTTCCTTCCCCGTTGCTTTTCATTTCCCCATCTATCCCAAGGTATCTAGGTCTCTCGCTTTTCTCCTGACTCTGGCCTCAAGGTCTAAGAGCTGATTCTGCTCCTCACCCTCAGCCCCCCTTTCAGCAACATTCCATTCTCACTCCTCAATCCAGGCCTCGCTGGGGGGCACCCAGCCTCAGGAGTTAGCACCAGTCCTGAGGCTCGTGTGCCTCTCAGCTGGACCTTCGTTTCTGCAACAGGGAATCAAACCAGTTATTACAAACCGATAGATATTAATAACCTCGCTATCAGCAGCGTAAGCTAAATGCAAATGCAAACCTCCTGGGGTAGACTCTGGCCAAAGAGAGAGAAGAGACAGGAAACAGCCTTCCATCCCCACAAGCCTCCCATAAAGAACTGGATTCAAGCACCTTGAGAGCTTCTGTAGGTCTCTAAATGCCCCATTCTCCTCAATCTCTACAATACACTGCTTTCTTTTCCCCAGAGATGTGATGAAAAGCAAATGAGATACTGTAGGTCCGAGTACTTGCAAAGATGGTCTATTCTGAGCCACAGTGGTCCAGTCTTCTCTCTGGAGATGCCTCGCAAAGCCAGCTGTGCTTAGTGATCCACCACTTCACATTTCTCTCCCTCCTCTCCTTCCTTCCCTGTTTCTCACTCTTGCAGTTCTGGGAGGGCGCCTCACCCAACCAAGTGCATGGCTGGCTCTCACCCTTTATCCAGCACTTTGTTCAAATATTACCTCCTCAGAGAGGCCTTCCCAGATCACCCATCCCCACCAAAAGCTCTCTATCCTTTCAGCCTGCTTTGTATTTTTTATAGACTTCAACATCATAGGGTATATTTATTTGTTTATTTTCTTCTAGTATTGTCTCCCCCACTAGACTGCAAGTTCTGTAAAGATGGGGGCTTTGTTTTGGTCACTGCTGTATACCCAGAATCTAGTGCAATGCTGGTATGCAGCAGGTGCTCAATGCAGGTTTGTTGAGTGATTACTGAATGAGATCTATGGTTCTACCTATCTTATTTCAAGAAACACATGGGAGGGGGAAGGCAGGAGCATTTTCTGACCTTATATCAAACCCTTGGGGGTAGAGATGTCCACAGCTGGAATCATAGACTGATTCCCCCAACACCAACTCAAAACCCTTTTCCAGGGCCACCTGCCAACCTCCCTGGCTCACAGTAGCTGCCAGCTGCCTTCCCCTCCTCAGAGCCTTCCTTCAACAGCCTTTCCAAGGTCACCTGGTCCAGAGCTGATGGCAAGCTAACCACGCAACGACAGTGGCTGGGCCCTCCCATTCTGGACTCCCGCCCACCACAGAGGGTCCTTCCCCCTCAGGGATCCACTCAGGCCAAAATGCTCCACTCCAGAACCCTGTATAAAGCCCACAAATCTATCTGTTAATTAGCCACAAGTGTTGTGGATCATAAGGTTGAAACTCACTCGGCATTCCCGACAGCTCTTGGTTAAAATCCGCTGGCCTTCTGCAAGGACTTTCCCTCCGTAGATACATTTTGCTATAATAAAACAGAAAAGTGGGTCAGATATTTATGCTATGCAACAAAATGACCTCAGAGGTGCCATCCAACTCCCACAGATTCCACAGAACATAAATTCTCTGATTCTAAACAATATAAATCTCCTCATCTAGAGGAAGACATTGGAAGAGCGAGGAGATAACTGTTGAATCCCCAATCAGACTGCCATCTTGATTGTTTGCCATGGGTCCTTCATACCAAGGATATACAATTATTTCAATGTTGCAGTTGCCAAAGGAACTAGAGAATGAATCGATGTGGTGAGGAGGTAAAAGGAAGGAAGGAGTGGTTGTCATGTCCATGGAGCGCAATAGCAGTAGCTCTGATTCAAACACTCCAGCCATAAAATGAATGACCAGGTGAAAGGGGACTCGTTCTGTTCATCAGAACCTCAACCACAATGCAGAAGGATGCCATTTTTTGACCTGCAATCATGCGAAGTGCATATCCTTAACCTATCTGTTCCCTGGGAGCTCAAAGACAACCAAGAAATACAAGCCATGCCAGTATAATGCTATATCAATGCAGGAGAGACCGCCTTTGGAAAGGTGAGCTTAACTGGCTGATAGGGAGGCCATAGAGTAGAGACAGGCCTTGTAGAAAAGTTCAAAGAGAAGCATAAATGGAGCTCCCACCACTCAGTTTAGATTCCACTGGGACTCAGTCCTCACTCAATTTAGATTCCAACTTGGTGACCCACTTTTAAGCAAGCACAGAATATGTTAATGTGATATGACTCTAATGTGTCTCCACCAAATTCTCCAGCCACATCAACAGGAACAGAGCAGCAAGGGCCTGATGGCTCCCTGTCCTGCCCAGATGAGGATCCTTCCTGCCCTCGTCCTCAGGAGAAGCAGAAGTGAAGACATGCACTCTAAGAGCTAAAACCACCTCACCCCTCTGAGTGTCCATTTCTGAATCTCTTAGAAAGAGGTTAACTAAATTTGGTAGTTTCCTAGTTCTACAATTTTCTGACTCTCACGCAATGTTCAAGTACGTCAGGACCTTAGGGGTCAACTTGCCCCACTTCCTCTTGTTAGCCACAGGAAGAGAACAAGCCAGAGTCACTGGTTTACTTAACAGCACAATCTGAAAGTGGATGCTGTGGTGTGCTACCCAGATCCCCCTCCAAGCCCAAAGGACACACTCCCGCAGCTGCTGAGACAGTTGATGACCAACAGCTCTCAGCTGAACAGTGATCTAGGACTTGTCCTTGGTTGAAGAGAGCACCTTGCCCAAGGGCAAGTCCCCTTCCTGAGCAGCCCACATCCAAAGAGTGGTCGATGAACATAGTACAAAGTCCCGGCCCTTTGCCCCAACTCAGGACAAATCTTAAAGGTCACCCCAGGTCCGGATCTCCCTATAGCAGGGACTGAGCTATTTGTGGTAACTGCATTGCAGTTCAGCCTCTCCTTCTGCCCAGTTCTGCTTCTTTCACTGTCTCACTCCCACCCCAGAACTGATCCTCACAGAACCTCCTAATAAAGCACTAGCTAATCTCCATTTCTGACTGTTTCCCCTCAGAACCTGCAACAGCCCACACCTGACTCAAATCTGTTCCACTCCATCCACTCTCGGGGAACGGCGCCAGCATCCACCCCACCACCCAGGATCCTTCTAACCTCTCCCTCATCTCACCCCCATCCTGATCAGCACCCAAATGCTAGCAATGCTCCCTCCTTAAGTTTCTCAAATGAATCTAGTTTCTCCACTCCCCACCACCTACCCCAGATACTAAGTTTGTTCAGGCCACCACCATCCCTACATTTTAGTCTACCAGAACTTCCTAACTTGTCTCCATGTTCTGGTCTCAATCCTATCCAGTCCTTCCCCATACAACAGTCAGACATGTTTTATTACGTGCAAATATGAGGCCCTGCTTTAAAACCATTATGGCTCGCCAATGCCCTCAGAACATAGTCCAAAGTCCTTAATTCAGCACACAAGGCCATGCATGTGGCCCCTTCCTTATCTCTCCGGCTTCGAACTCACCAATTCCTGCGCATTCACTCCCCCTCCCGAACATTCCCACCTCCACATATACTCTAGCCATGCTTTCTCTCTTGCTTCCGGGATTTGCATATACTCTTCTCCTCTCCAGGATCACTCAGCCACTCCTTTCCCCGGCAATCTCCCATCCTATATACCCATCAGTCTCAAGTTGGGCCTGACTTCCCCCAAAAAAGTTGTTCGTGACCTCTAACACTGGTGAACTTCCCTCATTGTGTCTGTCGTACCCCGGACCCAGCCCTGACTGAGTACAAATCACATTTTATCTCAGTTGCTCATTTCATGACACATCTCTCCTGCTGTAACCTCCATAAGGGTAGGGACTATGTCTATTCACAATTTTATCTCCAGCCCCAAGCTCAGTGCCTCTCTGGGCTTATTGTTAGGAACAACAAATTATTCTAGAATTAATGAGCCTCCAGCTGTAGCAAAAACTAATCAAATTTCTTGTGTCCCAGATAGGAGTTCTTTTTGCTATTCAATACAATTTCAAACATTAAAAGCAGATAACAACGCAATCAGAATAAAAACAGCAACAATAACAAAAGAATAGAGAATCAATACAATTTTCTAGATAGATCCCCTTTCTCCCTCCACTTAAAAAAAATTATCCCTGATCATCTTTTAGGCCTCAATTTTCTCGATAAATCAGTTGACCATGACTCATTGGTCCTAATGATGTGGATTCCCCAAGTCACTTGTACGGGGAGACTACACCTCCAAGGGCCTGGAATTCCTGTCTAATAAACTCCCAAACGCAGCTGCCGCCAACTTGGCAAGACGGCTTGCTCCAGAGTGACAGTTCTGCTAAATGCGCTGCCATCAAATCTGCCATCTGCTTCCCGGCCCAGGCTTGGAAGCAAAGAAATAGACTTTTCTCCCTCATTTTGCCCCTTGCCACCCCTGTGATGGTACGAGCACACTTGCTACCCTGTCCTCAGATGTTACCTGACTCCTCTCTTCCTCTGCCTGACTCCCCAGCACTCCTAAGTGGAGACAGGAACGTCTTCTTGTTTACCTTCACACCACACATGGGGACACAGCCATCTCTCAAAGCCACCTGTCTGGTATAAAATTAAATGTCCACTGAACTTTATGCCCTCACATAGCAGGCTGTTTAAGGGGCTGTGAATGATGTCAACATGGTGCCACATGCCTCAGCCATTGGCAGTTCGGCCCTGACGCAGGACACGTATATGATTACAATAACAGTATCAATGAAACTATCTTAGGACAGCTTTTAGGATCTCCACTGGAGGTCCCAAGAATTCCCCCTGCTTTCTCATATTCACCCTGCTTCTCTGAGAGTGGCCCCCGTCCCCTGTCACTACCCTCCATATGCCTAACATCAGTCCTCATTATCCAACCTCTTGATCTACAGCCAAAAGGCTTTTTGTGATGTCTGAGGAAATTCAAGCATAAGGTGAGTCAGGCTCCAGTGCCTTTGGCTGGGGCATTTGGGACTCCATTCCAACAGCTTTCGGTAGGAGTAGAAATGTAAATGGATACCTGAAGCCCTTCATGCCACACTGGAGACATGCAAACCAGAATCTTTCACAGTGTCCAACCATGAAATTGAAACCCAGCACCAACACACACTTCTCCACGATGTCAGAAACAAATGTACTGGGATTTACAGAAACAGTTATGCGGTTCTATGTTTTTGCACCCTCAGACATCTGGCCCTCCAAATTTGGACCTGATTTCTCTATTGCAATGATCGGACGCTTTGCCATTTGGGTGCACACTGAATAAACAATTGACAGGTATGCGTTGCCCCCCCGCCCCCCACGTCAGATGTGGACGCGAGGTCACTCTGTCTTTATTTAGGTATTTGTACCCTGCACACACGCCAGCCATCCCTGGGCACTCAGCAGCTTAGAATATCTAAATCAGCACTCGTATTGGGCTTAAGGAAAGTGGCAGATCAGGAAGGCTGAACGCCCAAGCATCCTTCCTCCCTCGGTGAGTTCATTCACAGATCTGGTTTCAGATACCACCTCTCTGAGCAAGGCGCCCACATCAGACTGGTTGTCCCTCAGGCATCTCCAACTCACGTACTGCAAACAGAATGCATCGCTCCCTGAACTACTTCTTCCACCTGCTTCATTTCTGTTAATCACGCTGTGAGTCTCCCCGGGCTCTTGTTCAAAACTTGGCAACTCCTCCCTTACAGACGCTCTGTTCCTGATTCATCTGTCTCATGCAAAAACGTGCTTATGGAGTACCCACCATGAGCCAGGTATTTTGGCTGTCACTCACATCTATCCCTTCCTTTTCATCTCCCCAGGCAGTGCCTGCCTGCCTGCCAGCCTCCTCACCTCCACCTGGAATATGCCTGAATTCCATACCCGGGCCCTGCTGCCAGCTCCTGTGGTGCAGTGGCCTATGGAAAAGCACTTCTTTGATTATGCCACCACCCTGCTTTAAAATCTTACTTTTCCATACCCAAACTAATGCTGTGTTTACTTCCATGATTCTGCAAGAGCAATTCCCTTTGGCAGGCGTGTTCTTACCCACTTTGTACACATGGCAAGCTCCTATTCATTTGTCAACACCCTACTCAGCTGTTATTTCCCCTATGAAGTTTTCCTAACACACACATGCACACATTTCTGATGGAGTCATCACTCCCGTCTCCCTGCTACTCTGCATCTGATGTAGTGCACATGTTACATGACCCTCTCTGCCCTAACAAGACGGTGCATGCTCCTCCCTGGACAGTGGGTGCAGAAGAGACAGGTTAAGAGGATGGGCTCTGGAGCCAGACTACATGGGTTTTATTTTGGCTCCACCTAGGCTGGGAGACCTTGGACAAGTTACTTCTCTTCTCTGTGCTTCACTTCCTCATCAGTGAAACGGGGAAAGCAGTGGGGCCTACAACTTTGGGTTGTTGGAGGAACTAAATGAATTAATACACATAAAAGGGCTTAACGCAGTGCCTGACACAGAATGAATGATGTATATGCG